CAGTCTTGAGAAAGTGTGATAAACTCCAGTTGTATAAAGCCGAACTCCGGTGCAGTTGTGTTGTTCTTATGGGGCGCTCACACCAAGTGGATTAAAATCATCTACTTGCTTAATTTGTGCGAATCTAGTTGCGTGAATGAATAGTCTTTACTCGCTTCATTTGCGCGTCAACAGTAATCCCTGCCAATTCAACCTGCGGGATCAAGTGATAGAAAAAGTGTTTTTACAATTTACCAAGTAATCCGACCTCTTCACTCACTCGAGCTCCTTTTATTCCGGTTTTGGTAATTGAAAGAAAAGGTATCACATAATTCGGGGCACCCACACAACGACATGATCAGTTTGTCCTCCATTTTAGATACCACGTCACCTGGCAACCTTCGTGCTGATTCGTTATCTTCATGCGAATATCTGCTCAAGTTGAGACATTTTGTTGAGTACGTCACTCCGCCAGAGTAGTACAAGCGTCTAATCGCGTCTTTGCATTGACTTAACATGTAATTCATTCCACGCGAATGATTTTACTCGCACTTGGTGTGTGGAGACAGTTAAAGTGTGTTGAAAGTTACATACACAAATTTTCTGGCCTTTTTTTCATACTTTCATCGTTGTGCTGGTTGCAGTTTTAAAAAGAACCTTATGTTTGTGTTGCTTTTTTCCACAGTGTGTAGTTAATCTGCTCAACTGATTCGTATGGGAGCAGCTTTTACATGCATCAAAAGCACCTGTATAGAAATAAACACACCAGCTATAACCTCCTCACAGCAGATTAAATCTCTTTAATTCCATCAGCATTTGAAATAAGAGCATTTAATCAATCAGTCTCTGCGTTTCATACGAGGAGAAGAGGCAGACCTGTGCATTGCTAATTACAGGAAACACTTCACTCCTATTGTTTGCGGTGAAAGAGCTCAGAGGTGCAGGAACAACTCTTTCAGGGTTGCCGCATTGACTAACAATAGTCGACATAAAACCAAGGAACAGGACACAGACTGGACTGAGCACAACGCAGCTCGCAGCGGCACAGTTCACTTATGTAAATAGATGGTGAGCTGTTGTAAGGGGACAGGAACATGATGACAGTGTGTCATTAAACCTCTCATTTGTATTCACGCAGAGGGGGACCAAACACTTGGAGTTTAATAGGCACGCTGGAGGGGAAGAAAGTGGCAACAAGAATGCTGCTCACTGCACATCTGTTAGAGACTGTTTTGGTCATCCAGGAGCCTGAAAGAGTGTAAATATCAGATATGGAAGATTAAAATCGTGCAGATGGCTACAAGTACTTCCTCTAGTATCGCATGAAGATTGCTCTGATGCACATAAGTGTGTTTTTGAGAAGTGGTATGAGATTCTCTGTTCCCATGCAGAGGAAGGGGCATTTCTATAATTTTAGTCGATTTTTAGGAGAAAGAAACTTCCTCTGTTTTTTGGTTTTCCTCTCAGGATCACAGAAAGTGCAACTCCATGACATCATCTAATTACTCTGGTTGGACTGGTTGAAAAAAAAGCAAATTATGGACACTCAAGTTCCCATGCCTACATAAAACCGTTTCCCTATCATTTTCCTGTATCTTATTTTCATGCCACCAAGCGACCTCAGTGCAAATTCTGTCAGGATTTGAGGTGAATAGGGTTGTGTTTAAGTGTGTGCGTGCGTTCGCTTTGTGTTTATGTCAACTTTCAGGCCTGAAGAGAACCCTGCGTGCGTTTAAGTGTGCGTCTGTCTGAGTATAAATCTGGTCTGAGCTGCACTTTTGTTCCACTTCATCTCCCTATTTACTCATTCAGAGTTTCAGGATGGTATGAAATTAAAGGTCCGCTCTCCTGATAGAGTTTTGACATAAATGTCTGCGGCGCTGAAAGCTTTTTGCACAACAGTTTTCGATTGCGATGCAAATGACAATTACGCCCGCAGTCCCTCTCACCCTCTTATCTTCCCACCGAGCCAGAGAAAACAATTGGACTCTAAAAAATTGATCCACAGGGATGAGCACTCTTCATGAATACAAAACACATCATTTCAGACGACCTGCTTGACACCGAATAGCACGCAATTACTTTGTATATGTGCCTTTCTGCATTTGCTCTGTGCGATCTGAGAGTGTTAGTCAGTTTGGACAAAATTTAAAATGCAGATTGCACAAAATGTGAGCACTCAGAACCACTGAGCGCAGAATATTTCACCGATGATATACAGAGGAGTTCTCTTGAGTCTGTATCTTTTGCTGCATAAAGTCAATAATGAAAATGAAGCTTCATATAAATGGAATATAGTGTGGGAGATTATCCGAAGATGAGGACGACACAGCACAGGAGTGGCTAGAGGTTAAGAGGAGATGCAAATAGATATTACTGGTTGCTTTAATCTGCACGGGATGTATAAGGGCAATTAAAGCTGCAGATAACAGACTGATTTATCTACCTGACATTTAAAATATCTCGTGAAAATGTCAGACCGACTATGACGGCTTGAAACCTTCTAAAATTTCATGAACTGCCTCACAAGGCCCCAACACTCCAGATAAGATGATTTTAGTCAAAAACAAAGTCTTAAACGCTTCCTCTCAGGGCTGCCCTGAGTCTTGTATACTGTGAAACAGGATACCTTTCAGATTAAGAGTTACATTCTGGTTACATCAGGAGTTTATCTCACTGCTTCTCTTTGCATTCCTTCGCTGCTGGATTCAATAAGGACCAAATCCCTGCAGAAAATCTTATTGTCCTCACACGGAGTCAACTCTCTAAACTCTTTGCAATTATCTGTTTGGATTCATTACCCAAAATGCTCTCCACTCCTTTTTTTCCCACTACCTTTTCATTTTCCTTATTTGCTTTGCAGTGATACCTTTGGAAGCTGTTATGCTGCGAAGCAAGCAGAGCAAATAAAGTGCCATGTCAAGCAGAAGCAGGCTCGAAAACCCCCCCTGGCAGTATGGCTCACTAGGCTGAACAAGCCGCTCGCAGTCCAGATTATCCATGTCAATGGAACAGAAAATGAGACGGAGGATTTGCAATGTATCTGACAGCATGGAGGTTACATGCCTGTACAGTTGAATCCTGCTATCTTGAGTTTTTGTTGACAAATATAATTTTTAAGGCTTTAAGACTCATCATAACCAGAATAAAGAGGATTTTTATATTTTCTCAAAAATACTGTAAATTTTTAGACTAAATGTTATTCAACCAGTGCTCAAAGAAGAGAGTTGCACATCAGTGACAGATGAAGAGCCCAAGGGAGAAACTTTAGAGTTTGAACAACCTGGAGGTGCACTAAATAAGTGGAACAACTGTATAACGCTGTGTGCTGAAGCCTTATATAAGTCCAATACAATAATGTTTGCAGCTTTAAACATCTCTGGGTGGTTACAGTTATGCAAGTGGCTGTTCAATAAAATCTATGCTGACCTCTTTTACATCCTTTCTTTTAAGTCACCTGATTGTGATATATATATAATCAGATCCTACTGTCGGTCCAATACTAACAGGTTTCTGCTGTCCACATCCGACAACAATGCATTCAACAATAATAATAGCAAACGGATTTTAAAATCTGTTAGGGGAGAGTGGGGTAAGTTGAGCCAAAGGGTAAGTTGAGCCACCGCCTGTTGCTTGAAAATGGTAAAAGAAATTGATCATGTCACCAAATATTTAGGAGATCAATTCATGGAGTCTGTGAAGGTTAGAAGCACATGGGTGAAGGGGTTAGACATTTATTTAAAAAAATAAATAAATAATTTTTTCCCTCTTGAAAGTGAATTTAGTCTGTCATAAGTTTTATTAGAATTATGTTCAGACCAAAAAAGATCATTTAAAAAATGTTTCTACATCAATTGTGGTAGATCTATGAGCTACAACATGAGTCAAAAACATAACATAAAAGTCCACCATTTTAACTTAGAGGACTAATAAAGTCATAATAGTAGTTCTGGGGTAAGTTGAGCTCAACTGAGAAAGTAAATAAGTCTGATTAGAGGATCAGAGTTTCAGTTCAGATTGTTGAAATGTTTTACTTTCTCTTTTCAGTAATACAGCTGTGAATGTTCTGAATCACTTAAATTCTTCTTTCATGTTAAAATGTCTTTTTACAAAACAGCTTTTTAGCAGTTATATGCAATGATAATAAAAAGAATTATTGTACCAGTTGAATAGTGTATAATAGATAAAAATACACATGAATGTGAAGAAGTGACTGTTATTCAGGCAGAGAGACGGTGAGGGTCAATTTACCTCATGCATGGGGTAAGTTGACCATAGGAGACCACTTTTTTTTGGCATGCTATATTATCAACAGTTATGTTTACACTCATTCTGTTGGTTTGCAGGGATGAACAACATCTTGAAACACATGCAGATACACTGGTTAGAGACAAAACTATGATTGACTTGATGTAGTGATCTGAAATATAAAAAATGGCTCATCTTACCCCACACTCCCCTACTCCTGTTGGAATGCAAAGATGGATTAAATGTAGCCTGTACCACAAGCTCAGTTTACTTCATTTGTTTCATTTGTGTATCATGACAGATGAGTATTTAAGTTTCTGCTTTGAAACACACAAATAAAACAACATAAATTAATACTGAGAAAGACTTAAAGGTTATAGTTGCATACCTTCTTAGAAAAAAAGCAAACAGTTTTAGAGGATTATAAAGGATTAAACCAGATTGAAATCTATCTCAAGATCTGCATGGACTGACATGAATTCAACCATGTGTTGGATTCCTACTCTAAAGAAACACTCACCAAGTGTTCATGATGGATGTTTTTGTAAAATTCCTATAAAAAGAAAACAAGAACATGTTTTAAAATGTCGAAGACGTGCCCAGACCAAATGTACATATTGGAGTTGTAATTATATTCACAACCACACGTAAACATATAGAGCACGTCCAGAGGAACCTGCAGCGCTCTCGGCTCTCGGACAGCGCTCTGATTGGTCCGCTCTGACAAAGTGGGCGGGGCTCCCGGCTGTGGGCGTTTGACAAAACCACGCACCACACAACGCCAGCTTTCATTCACTACGGATTCGTCGAGTTCAGCAGGTCTCTGTGCGACTTTTCCTCCTGTTTGTTTCTACTTGATTTATTTTCGCCCTTTAGAGTTTTTCTACTCATATAAACGGTTCTAACGTGAAGTCTCACGGTGCGCGGACGAGCTTTTTTCTCTTGGTGAACTTAAAGTTTTTTTCCCCCGCACAACCTACCTGAGTGGTGTTTTTCGTCTCTACACGGCTTCACTCCTCTCCACCATGGATTTGGTTTGGATTGTGGGGTTCGTAGTGAGCGTCTGCGCCTGGTGTGCTTCAGCGGAGCGACACAGCGTCTACTGGAACAGCACGAATCCAAAGTGAGTATACCTCTCTCTCTCTTTTCACCTGGAGTTTTCTTTTCTTATTTAACACTCTTCAACACATCCTCACATGCACTTCTTCTTCGTCAATCAGTGCAGAAAAGCAGAATAGTTTTGGTATCTTTGCAACAAAAGAACTTTTAACCTCATTATCATCTCAGATCGGATCATTTAGATCTTTCCTCAGATATGTTGAAGAGTTGCAGCAGCTCATGCATATTTAGAAAGCTTGCTGTGATGAATTTGTGATGGAGGCGACCCGCTGCTGTTGTCATGATAATACAAGACAGTTAGGAGCCTCTCTCTCCCTCCCCCCTCTCTCTTTCTCTGAGCTCAAACCTGTTATTATGCTGCTGTTTACCTGTGATACTTTGTCCAACCTGTTCAGATTTAATCCGTTTCTCAAGCTGTGGGACTAGTTAAATGTGGCTGTGTCGTTTTTAGAGCAGACCATGAGCTAGATAAACAGTTTTTTTGGCTTCTTTTACTCTCTAATCTGTTTGCCTGAGTTTGGGAGATGTTTTTCTTTGCGGATCTCTGCAAATACTTCTCCCAATCTGGTTCTTTTTGCACATTTATGTATTGATGCATTCCTCTATATTTGCAGAAATGCGTTGAAACTCAGCGATGAAGTAGTTTGATTAAAAAAAAAATTTAAAGTAGGTGTATCTTTATCTTCATCTTTTTTTCAGTGGTGCATTTGTGCCTTCATTCACATGCTAAAACAATATTTTCCTTGGCAAAGGTTACATCTTTTGGGGCTGGTTTTTACAGGTCTGACTCACAGTGCATAGTGTTGAAATATCTGTTGCAATATCCTCCCATCTGACACAGAGTCCTAACCTCTGTGTGGAGTGGGAGGCTCGCTGTGTCTCCTAAATCAAGAGATATCGCAGTGGGGTTTAGGTGGCTGTCAGGGAGACATGGGGGTGTTCATATTTCACATAGTAAGACGAGTAATAATGGTGTATGACAGAGACAGAGGAGGTAACTTGAGGCCTGCCCAGTGGGTCACACTGTGGGAGAGAGATGGATTGCTCAGGGAGGAGAAATTGGAGCTCAAATTGTCGGGGTTAGGGGGCCAGTTGGAATAAGTGGGGGTCAATTAGAATTATGGTTGATGATGGCTGGGGTGAAATGGCTCAGGGTACAGAGAGGGGTGAGGTTTGTTCTCTGCAAACAAACTTCTACATGCACCTACACACACAAACACACACTCAAACACACAGCCAGGCAAGCACAAACAGAGACTCCTGGCTGACAATCAATCAATCACTAAGCTTGGATAATCAATCACAGCAACAGATGGTGTCGAAATCAATCAGTGTTTGGCTTGCACTCTCTGCTTGTCTTGGTTGCAAACATGCAGATAGACTGATATACTCCTACAAGCATAAATAAAGTTCTTCTGACATTGATTATGGTATTTGTACTATGATGGTGTTGGCCCATGAAACATAAACATCAAAAGCCGAGATAAAGACGTCTTTTGTTAAAACGCCATCTTGTAATTTCAGTTAAAGCAAGAAAAACATGGGAAATCAGGATTTTTTCAACATTGTTTTTTAACCCAGACCACACGCAGAATCTTTAACTGTAATGACAAAAATTTTGGTACCAATAAAGGGGATGCACCGATCCGAGATTTGGATCGGATATTGGCTCCGATATTGACAAATTAACTGGATTGGGTATCGGATGCATGACGTCGATCCAGCGTTCCGAATCCAGTCTTTTTTAATGCTAATTTTTCTTTTAATACATGGAAGTCTAAGTAGTATTGGATTGGTATTGGATATCGGCCCATGTGCTCAGCCCAGGTATTGGTATCGGATTTGATCGGGACAAAATTGATCGATCGGATCGATGGATCGGTGCATCTCTAGCCAATACCAGCATCAGTATCAACCTGCAACACACCAATTTGATACCACTCTCCCATGAATCGACCAGTTTAGATTAAACTTCATAGTCATTTTTCATTTTGGTGAAGTTTTGTGGGGTTTTGACTCAATTGGCACCATACCTGCATTTACCCTTCATAAGGCCGATATCATCATTATCATTTGATAGCATATCAAATTTAAAACAGTCACTCATAAGTGTTAGACATGAATTTTATCACTGAATGTGCACTGAATGATCCAGTTTAACATTATTGTTGATATCTACCTTGTTTTTCTTTAATAGTCTTGTGTTGGTTAATGCTAGTAAACTTTCAATAATCATTTTTCTCACTATTGAGGGGCTTATATTTTTAATCCTTCTGGCATTGAACTAATACTTGGTGTCAGCCGATACTGAAGTCTAGGTTTCTCAGTCTGTGTTGGGAATAAAATGTGGCACTGAAGCCTCTCTAAAGCTTACTTCCAAGCAACATTAGAGCTTCGACGCTGTCAGAAAGCCAGTAATTATAGCACCAAAGCTTTTCCCTGAAGTCCCATATGCCTCAGTGTGAAGCTGTTTCCCTGCTGTAGAACCACAGTGATCATTCCTGTGTATGTATACTGGTAATCCTTGCTTTTGCACTTGCTATTTTTTCCCGGATGACTGTGCTAAATCTCTCCCGTTGGCTACTCTTAATCCTGTATTCGCAGAAAAAAGCCCTGACTTTCTGCTTTCATTTCGGTACTTTTCATCATTCCACAGCAATCCACTCTCCCCTTTGACCCATTACTCGCTACACTGAGTGTTGACGTCTGTCTTTTTCCTCACGAGACTCTTTTTTTTTTCTTCACCGCTTGGGTTTATGGTCCCAATCCTGGTGGTCAGAGAGCTCATGTTAATCAAATTGATATCAGATTGGTTCATGTGATACAGGCTTCTTTCCCCTATTCCCTGTGTGTTCGTTTAGGGATTTAAAGACACACATACTCATACATATGCACAGTGACCCTGCTTTCCACTAATTTGTGCATGTGTGTGTGAGAGCTCGCCCTGGGGCCTAGCTGCTGACTTCCAAGGTCGTCTCTGCCTGCACTTTAACGACTACTTTCCTTCAGCAGGAGTGAAATATCCCCCTGACACAGACTTTTTCAGCACTTTCTGACCTTTTACTAGTTAGCGCATTTGTTGCCTTTGTGTCTGATTAGCAGCAGCTTAATCACCAGCACGGTTTGGTTCCCAGAAAAAAGCTTTCCAGTGTGCCCAGTCAGCCCAGAGCCCAGAGTGCCAGCTTGTTTTTCATGTCTTTTGTATAACATCACCAGATTCAAGTGACTCACACATTCACATACACATTAGCCCAGTCATCCACACACACATGTGCCACACACTTGTGATTGATGTTAACACCGTCCCAGGAGCCCTCTGGACTCTACTGCTCCCTACGAGAGGCAACAATCTGTTCATTCACTGCTTCCTTCTTTTTCCTCACTTTCCCTTTTTTTCCTCTGCTGACAGAGCATGAGTCCACCACCACCACCACCCACGCCTCCCCCTCTTCTTCTCTTTGTACCTGTCTCCCCCTCTCTCCAGCACCTCCTTCCCCCTCTTTTTGGCCAGGTTCCCTTTTCACTTTGGTTCTGTGGTCTCTGGTTCTGAGAGGCTGTTAACTGTTTCATGGCCCTGCTCGCTTACATTTGATTCATCTGCTGTTTATTTTTATATAATCATCAGCACCTTGTCTGTTATGGTTACACATTTTTTGGCTAATCCGCTTAGTCTTTATTTTTCTAACTGAACTAATGAGTTCTCTGATTACGATTAAGTAGAAAAAATCCATCTCCTCGTAGCTTGAGCCCTAATTTCATCTTCTCCTTGGAAATACTGAGTCCCATACCTACACTGGAGTATCGACAGAATACTTAACATAGAATTCATTACAAGTAGAAGTTTGAAAAGTAAACCAAATACGATTAATTATTAACATTTGCTAGCCCACACCAGACTGTGAGAAGACCAGTATCGATGGTGATAGTTTGTCAAGGTATGCAGTATCACTTCATATAATGTACCCTGTACTATTATCAGTACTAATATTGAACCAAAACCAGTATCTGTACTAAAACTGAGCAAATGCTGTATATTAACAATGATTTGATACCAGTATCAACACCAATATTGAACCAAAGTTGGTGTCTTTGCTGATACTGAACAGGTACCAGTATCAGTGTCAATATTAAGTAGATATCAGTATTAATACAGATATCAAACCAAAACAGCTATACCAAATTCTAATCAGTACCATGTTAAGTACTGGTACTGATATCAGTATTGATACTGACATGGCATCGATACAGGTACCAGAATTAATGTTCTTCTCTGATATTAGTGTGATTGTTTACCGATACTGGCATGAATATTGATATTAAATCACTACCAATATCAAGACTGATACTGTACCGATACTAGAATCATACTGTACTGATACTTGTATGTTTACTGATATAAATCAAACATCAGTTTAAATATTGAACCAACACCATGATAAATACCCATATTGTACTGATACTAGTAACATGGTACCAATACCAGTATAACTGTAGATATTGGTCTAATTACCAGTACCATTACTCAAATTGTACCGATGCAAGTGCCAGAATAAGTGTTATTCTCTGATATCAATACTATTGTTCACCAATACTGGCATGAATATTGATATTTAATCACTACCAATATCAATACTAATACTGTACCAATACTAGAATTATACTGTACTGATACTAGTATGTTTACTGATATAAATCCAGAACGAATATCAGCACTGATATTGAACTTACACCATGATTAATACTCATATTGTACTGATACTAGTAACATGGTACCAATACCAGTATAACTGTAGATATTGGTCTAATGCCAGTATCGATACCCAAACTGTACCTGTACATGAATCAAACATCTCTTACAAGCCTTTTAGTCAGTCTCATTGTTGATACTGGTATTGATTATTGAGCTGCGACTACCTTTGTTTGTGTTGTTTGTTTGATCCACTTAACTAAATCGGCTGTTTACACTGTGCTTGCTGAAATAAGTGAGTTATTTAAGGTGTGTTTCACCCGTATGAAGGATTTCTTTGCCGTTTATCTGGTCAATATGGGTGTTTTGTGATGGTTCCCATACAAATTGGGGGAATGGTCTTCACGGTGAGCCACAGAAAGAGAAGAGTAACTGGTGTGACTGATTTGGGGTCAGAGTTCAGGATGTGATGAAGTGGCACAGCCTCTATCAATCTGTCAGTCATCCTGTCACGGCGGTGGTCCCTGAATGCTGCCCGCCACTCAAGGCCAGCCCCTCTTCTTCACAGGGCTGCAGCTCTGCCTCTGGGAAACTCTCATTCTTTCCCCTTTTCTTTCCTTTCTCAGCCCTTCACTCCTTTTCCAGCTTTTATCTCAACTTTACAAGCTGTCCCTTTTCAGTCTTTTATTTTTCAACTCCAACTCCGGCTGTCTGTGGGGAAGGAGGGGTGGAGGAGGAGGGAAGCATGCTAAGAGGTGTGGAATTTTTTTATCGTTCTTGGCACCCATGGCGATCCGTCACAAGGCACTTTGCCCTTTCCTTCACGCTTTCTTCTCCTTGTCAGCTCTCGCCCTTTAAGCTTCCTTCTTCTACCCCTCCATGAAAAGCCACTCAAGTCTTCCCAGCAAACCTGTTTCTTTATTTCCCTCTCCTTCCTGGTCTTTTTTTCCCGTGTCCCTTCATGTATACTTCTCCCTCAGCGAAGCAGTGTAAGTGGAAGAGCAAGTCTGGGAACTCAAGCCATGAAAGGACAGGGATAAAATGAAAGAAAAACAAAGGCCTAAGTGTAGGAGTGGATGTCTGTTTGCCTTTTGTGCATGTGCTTGTGTCCATGTACGTGCTTGGGAGATCAAGATAAGATCAGATCGCCACATCGACCAGATTAGGTGGACACAATAGATAAGGATTTCTGCTGTTTCCAAGTAATCTTAACTGAAGCTGCTTCCTTGGAAAAACATCCAGGTTTCCCACTTCACTTCCTAATCCAGTCTACACCATAAATACCTAAACCTTTGTCGTCATTCTCTTCAGTAGAGTCTTACTCCATCTTTCTGCCCCCTCCCACCTCCTTTAATCTGGCCTTGTAATCTGTCTGCTGAATTCAATCTGGAGAAAAACACACTGCGGGGCTGTTAAGGTTAGTCGGCTCAGTGGTCATCACAGCGTGTTGACGTTTCCGATCCCTTCATAATCATCTATAAGAAGACTTTACCCCTGGGATCATATTAACACGAGTTATTCCCCTCCCAAAGCTGATCTTCCTCCTGTTCAATATTCACACTTGTTGTTGTTTGCGGCGTCAGATGCAGGAGGGCTTGTTTTATTGACTAGATAGAGAATCAGGCCAAAGGTTTAACTTCCCTGCAGGCGTGCTTGTCGGTGTTACCAGAGTCTGCACACTACACTGTCTGCTGCGTGTTTCCCTATGAAGTGTTGTGCTTCCTGGCCACGTCTTTTCCCGGGAAAACAGCGTATCCTGTCCGCACAATAAACAATACGGTTCTCACACAGCAACACACGCAAAGCCGCAAAGGAGCTGATTGTATTTCCCAGGCTTGTATGTGTTGAAACTGTGAGAATAAGTAGATTAGCGGTGATTAATTGTGCTTGATTGTTTTTAAGACTGTTTAGCCTTGAGGAGGATAGCGGATACGCCCCCATCTGAAGTCTCAGCCTCTGTCTCTGTTTGGGATTCTCCTCTGATCAGTGTCACCTCGGTCAACCCTGCAAGTGTTTCTCCTCCACCCCCGTGCCCATCCTCTCGCCTCTTCCTTATCTTCGCAGCAGACTTCCTCTGCTTCTGCCCACTCTCTTCATTTTTTTTTATACAACTGCTCAATCCCACACAAAAAAAAAAATCAGTGAAAAAGAACAACTCCATTAGCCAGAAAATTTATGGTTTTATTGTGATCGTAGCTGCGCTTTTCTCTCATGTAGAGAAGGAGTCTGACTTTGGGGTTTGTTTGTGGAGTCTTGGTGACACACAGTGTTGTTGTGTTTGCTTGAATGGGGGAGAATTAGCCAGCAAAAGTCTGATATCATCTCTGAAAACGAACCATTGTGTTTGTCTAGTTGTGTAAATAAGGGTCATTGTGAAAGTTTTGTTTTTCTTTTGTGGGGTTTATTGCATGATTTAGAGTGTAAACATGTGCCCACAGTAATTACTGCCACCCCCTAGAGGCCAATGAAGATATAGAAATTAAAACCTGGAGTATATGTATGTAGGGGCAGCTTCTCCCTACCATAACTTATTCATTTGTGGCTCTTTACTCATATATTGTGTATTCCCCGTGAAATTCATTAGACCGTGTTTGCAGCAACAAAAATCCTTGCACATGAAAGTTTCACCTTCCAGAAATCAATCCGCCCGAATCAATTTCTCGTTCAGATATTTGCCTCTTGAGAAATGCAATGTCAGTGGTGACCTTTCCGTTCGGGCCCTTATAAGACAGAAATGGCTCGGGGGACAGCGTGAGACAGTCAGAAAGAGCATATGTATTCATCTAAGCCTCCTTAGAGCCAATTATTTCTCTGCTGGACTTAAAGCTTCGTCGATTTGCTCAGTTTGCAGAAGGAGTAAAGCCAGTCCGGGCAGGAACGTCTGTGGAATGACCAATGATCCGCAGGGACAAAGGCTGAGTGACAGACAGGAGAAAGCTGATGGAGATGGATGATGAAAAGTCACACGGTGCGAAAGAATGAAAGGTTATGATGTCCAAAAAGGGAGGGGCCAAAAAAGAGTTGGACCATATTTGTTTCTATGGCAACGCGGGCTGCATTGTGCTTGGCTCTGCAAACATAAACGGTGGGTCAAAAAGCAGCATATTTGGAATACCACCGGGACAGGTTGTGATTGGTTCAGCTTGTTTGGGGTGGAAAGGGGGAGGGGCAGAGTTGACATGAGGATCTGGTTTGCTTATTGAGCGATGAAAGACGGACAGGGGGTGGGTGGGGATGTTTGGCAGTGATGGATGAAAAGATAGATGGATGAAACAGCAAGAATTTGAGCAATAACGTTAAACAGCCCCGCTTGACTAGAATCGCTGCTTCTCAGGTGACTTTTATAGAAAGATCTTGACACATATGGATCCCTCGAGTCCAGTTTTCCTTCATAATCCAGTTAAAACCTCCCGCAGTTCTCTCTACAACCAAACACACATTAGCACACACACAATTCCAGCCGGTGTGTCTCGTTTTGAACTCCAAAACACTAGTGTAAAGAAGTAATACCCCTTCTCTGTATGTGGACAATAGGGATAGAGAAAAAAATGCTCCACCCTGCCTGTTTCACCCCTCAATCTGTCCCCAGCCTTCATCCCCTCACTCTGGGCCCCGCTGTCCGCTCTAAGCCCCAGTATTAAGCAGGGTCTGGTGCTGATGAATGGACCACAGCTCAGCCTCTGCTCCACCCAATAATCCAGGGCTTGGGCGAGCCGATTAGGTGGTCCCCACATTCCCCTCCGCTCATCTGTGACCTCGGCCCGTCACCTTTTGGGTCGCATTAATTGCGCATGTAAAAGCGAGGAGGAAAATAATCATGTTTTTGTAGCGAGGGGGCCCCGGGTTAAGCAGAAAAGAGCTGCTTTTAGATGTAGTGGTCTTGAATGCGCCCTACAGTGTCCATTAAGAATCTTAGTAGATCAATTTAGATGTGTTTTAAGAGGGCGATTCCGGTCATGGCGCTCGAAAACGCCTGACTTTTCAAGTAGAAAACTCTCCAGTGCTGACTTGGCGATTGTCAGACCTTTGATCCAGACTGCGGCCCCCTTTAGCCTCAGAGGTCCGGCATTCCTCGGGGCGATAGAGAGCAGAGATGAGAGGCTGATGGATGGATGAAAGGCGGGGGTAGAGGTGGAGAAGAAAGCAAAATGCTGGCTAGAGAGATTAAAGAAGAGAGATTAGACTCCTTGCTCCTGAAGAGGCTCCAATAAATCAGGAATTCCTCCTCGGGACAGGAGGAGGAGGAGGAGGAGGAGGAAGAGATGTCGGGAACAGTGGGTAGTCTATTTTTCAGCAGATTGTGCACTCAAATGCACATATGTTCGCCCACGTGATGTTTTTTTTCCCTCTGCTATCATCTGTGTGACATTTTTTATTCACCTTATCATGACTGAAACACACTCCCAGATTCCTCAGAGGTTTGCACACACACACACACACACACTTCCTGACACAAACAATCCCAGACATGGACTCACACACACAGCATCTCCTCTCCATATCTGCCATAGCTCCACAAATCATCTTTAAGTAGCGAATACAACAACTCCCCAATGCCGTATCTTCTGCTGACTCCGGGAGCGTCACTGTCATTAGAACGGAGAATCCCGGGATAAACAATGGGAATAAATCACGACAGAGAGAAGGGGAAACAGTGTGGAGGAGGGAAATGACAAGGGACACACACAGCGGGGAGCAGAAGGAGAGAGGATTTAGTCTGCTAAAGTGAAGGTGGCATGATTTGACTCTGTTAGCTAAACCTTTTCACACAGGGGCCTCGGCTCACTTTGAAGTGTGTCTCCCCGATCAGTCAATTAAGGAGATGATGTGGAACGTTTCAATGGCCGAGGCGTTAGAGGGGAACAAAAGGCAGCGGGATAATTAAAACTATTTGCCATTAATAAAGAGGGTGAGTCGGCCTCCCTGGGAGCGTATTCGGCCTCTGTTCTCTCTGCTAAGTGAGCTGTTTTATCGCGGTTTGAATGGAGGGACTGTATGAAACAGTGGGACTGATAAAGCGACTGTAGGACTCGCATACTGTTATTGAAAAAACTTCAAAAGCCATTTCCAACTCAAGCCCTTTAACCCCCCCTGCCAACGCCTATTCATGCCCTTAAACTCCCCCTGAATTCCCCGCCTAAAGGGGCTGGGAAGTGGGGACCAGGGGAGCATAATTACCCCCCTCCAGGGCAACTTTAATACCCTTTTTTGTGTTTTAATTGCACCCCCCTTCGACCCCCTTTTGATGAACACATTGGAAACATACCACAACCGGTCGGGCTCGGAGGTGAGCGAGCAGGCGAGGGGGTGTGTGAAAGTGTGTGTTTGTGTGTGTTTGCAGGGGGGGGTGATAACTCTGTCAGGCGAAAAGCAGACAACAGTGTTTGTTCAATAGTGTTATCGATTCGCCTGGAATTGAAAGTGGCAGGGGGAAAAAACACTTTAGCGGCCAATCTGGTAAACAGAGCGTGGCAGGCAAACTGCAGATAAGCACTAAGCTGTCTGGACCGTGGCAAAATGATAATTATTGCTCTCCCCCCCACTAAAAGTTAGCTGGAGCACACAATCATCAGCACAGCTAGATGGAAGTTTCATCAGTATCCTAAACTGGTGCTTGTTTTCCTGCAGCCCCCGTGTTGCTGTTGTAATGTTGACTAATCTGCCCATCAGTATTGAGAGAATGCAGTCAGGCAGAAAAGGGGGGAGGGAGCTAAAAAAGAGGGGGAGGCAAGAGTCAGGGCCCAAAGTTTGGAGCCACAGCGTCTGTCCTTTTTACCAGGGGGAACCAGAGAGACCTCTACCCACAAACAACAACAGCAGCTAACGAGCAGCGGGGGCCTGTGCACTTTGATCGTCAGTCACACATATGGACCTTGTCACACTTACACAAACACCAATGCTACTTGTAACTTTTGAGGGGTGTTTTATGAGGAAACAGCAGAATCTCCAAAGAAAAAAAAAAGTTTCTTTCCATGCTAAAGGTGTCCGGTTAGCACCCTGCAGGCTTCTGAAAACCCATAACTCTTGCAGTCCTGTAGATCTGATTAAATAGCAGCCGGGAACTCGCCTCACACCGGCCGCCCGCCTCTTTTTTGTGGTTTCTTCCAAGCCTGATGAACCATCTGTGTATTCATTGCAAAAGCAACAAAACCCTATATTAGACACACATTCTCTGTGTGCGGTGTGAAAATATTTAAGTCCGTCAGATTTCATCCATTCTCGGGGAACCCTTGGTGATCCAGAACAGTAGGAGACGGTAAACTGATAGGCAGCGTGTGGGGAGGAGGTGTTTGTACGAGTGTGTGTGAGCTCTGTGGGGGCAAACAGTAGGTAGCTACTGCTCCAAGTTGTTGATAGATGAGAATTACTGAGAAGCGTGTGTGAGAGTATGTATGTGTGTATGTCGCTAGCGGCTGGCTAGTTCTCCAGGCCCGTGATAGATGACTGTGGCTGAGAAGAGAGCATTAGCTGTGAGCCACCCCTGGAGGAGGCACTCAGTCAGGGGGAAGGGGGACAAAGCTGAAATACCTTCAGTGACAATTCAGCGGAGATAAACTCATATCTTTGAAGAAAGTCCCGCAGGGGGAGGAATCATGGCTAAGTCAGGTGAAGCCAGTTTAGCACTTGAGTCAAAAGGCTGGAAATAGAGTATTTTTCTGGAAGTGCTCTTTGACCCAGGTTTAAGAGGAGCGGGAGGAAGTTTAGTTTACTTAAAGACTATCGTAAAGAGGGAGGAGGAGGAGGGAGTGAAGGGAGGGATGCAGGGAGGGATGGAGGGGAGGCAGACAGTCTGACTGTCTCTCTCTCTGTGTTTGTAATGAGAGGGAGTGTGGTGGAGGACGGTTACAGGCCGTCACCAGGCTCATGTTGGACGTGTCTGCGCGCCTCTTACGGCCTAATGACTGGGTTCAAACATGTGCGACCTTTTATTTTTACCCATGTCCCTTTCTTCAAGTGTGTCCCGAGGTTAATTTGTTGTCATGCTTTCCTCTCAGTGCCAGTGTGTGCAGCCCTGCAGATGTCAATACTCATCTCCTGTCTTGCCCGGCTAACTGACTGCTAATGTTTTTTCTGTAAACATCATTCAGCTCCAGTGGGACGAGGAATCGATGTGCGCTCATGCTAACTTGCAACACTGCAGCGGCTAAACTTGCCCGGGGTTCATCCATATTTATGCGCATGTTCTCTGCAGATCATTCTTCCCTTATTGCGTTTTTTTCCTCTTCATTCCACTCCAACACACACATACATCCTCCCTCACACTCTCTCTCTTTCCTCTTCCTGCTCTCTATCACTCATCCCTATGCCTCTCAGTTTCTCCTCTGATTTCCCTGTTGTACACCAGCGTGAAGCCGATCAATATATAATCACAGCTTTTGAGGCTTATATTTATTACCGCTCCCTCGCTATAAGCACGGTTATCAGTCTCCTGCCAGTAGGGTAACCTCCTCTGCCTCCTCCCTGCAGGTTTCTGTGGGACGACTACGCCGTGGAGGTGAAGCTCAATGACTACCTGGACATCGTCTGCCCCCATTACCCTCAGGGTGAGGTGCCGCTGCTGGATGCCGAGCGCTACGTGCTCTACATGGTGGAGCGAGAGGACTTTGAAACCTGCAAGCCTCAGTCCTATGATCAGATGCGCTGGGAGTGCGGCCATCCGTTTGCTCCTCACGCGCCAGAGAAGTTCTCAGAAAAGTTTCAGCGGTTTACTCCGTTTACTCTGGGAAAGGAGTTCCGCCAAGGAGAAAGCTACTATTATATCTGTAAGTATCAATATTTATTTATACTCTTTTATATTGCTTTAATCCCAGTGACCTCACAAAGAGTCTAAAAACAAGTTAGAGGGACTTTGCTTCTCTGATTCACGACTCCCACTCACTAAATATGAGTGACTTTATAGTGAAAACAATGTCAAAATGATTCAGTCAACTTGTGCTGGTTTTGCCCTATTGAACTAAAGCAATATAATGTATAATATAGTTGTAATCAGCTATAAGTCCACCTTTTCAGACAGCACTGAGAGTTAAGAAGTCATTCCAGAAACAGAATCATTCTCCATTTTTTAGCATCTTCATTTGGCGTGTTGTCATGCCAACATTTGCTGTCCATGACTATGCAAAAATACAAAGTAACCACTAACTTAGGATTTAAATGCCATGTATTTAAATGTAGTTAGACATGCCCCTCTGAACCGAGGAGACAGAAGTGTCACTAAAGAATTAAGAATTGTGTAGATTGCAAGCATAAATGAATGTTCACACACACTTATTAGGTGATTTTACTCCCTCTTACACCAGCCACTCTGTCATTATTGCAATCTCTCAAGCCAGGCCACAAGACTAGCTTCAGATCTCTGCCTTTATCTGCATAAGGAATCTAGTTAAGGGCAAAATTCAGCAGTCCTGCTCTCTGAATCTCATGCTTGGTAGGTGACAAATTGAATATGGATGTGGACGCTCAGCGGGGTGTCGGCTCAGTTTGTTATGTTTCTGCAGAATTGACTCTGCTAGAACACAACCACAAAAGGCAAGCAGAGTTGTCACCCTGACCATGGCTGTAATTAGATAAACGGCAGGACAAGACACACTTTGCCTGGTCACAGATGGCGTCCTAAAGCTTTGTCCCTGCGTCAGCCTGTTGCCAAGTTTCTCTGAGTGTTTATGTGTGCGTGCGTGCATGAGCACATGCATGCCAGTGAATTAAGGGGCCAGAGGGGGATAAGTGCATTAGTTGGGATATTAACACCTGTGTTGTTTTTCTCTTTCCTCGACAGCTAAACCTTTGCACCACCATGGTCGGGAGTGCCTCAGGCTCAGGGTGGACGTCGTAGCTGCTGATGGTGAGTTCAAACACCTTCCGGGCAATCCGAAAAACAGCACAAGCCCCTCAAGTGGTTGTAATTTGCAGATACTGAGTAATTGATGGTATTTTTCTTTGCTTCCAGGCTCTCAAGAAGCCAGAGTGGCTAAAGGAGGCACAGGTGGGGCTGGAGTTGGAGCCGGGGGTGGGGGCGGAGTTCACAACCCATCCAACAGACTGCCTGCAGGTATGTTGACCAGCCCTGTGTCCTTTCTAATTACCTCTGACCTCAAAACAATCCAGCTACACTCAGGATAACATTAGTGAGTAAATATGCGGTACTAATGTGTCTTCAATCTCTCTTGTCTTCAAGCAGATGACCCGGTGGTGATCCTGCCCGACGTGCAGAAGAGCGTACGGACGAACTCCGCGGCGGCAGCCACATCTCTCTCAATTCTCTCACTGCTAGTCCCTTTTTCATTACTGCTGTTGTTGCACTGAGAGGACGAGAAAGGACTGCAGTTGGCAGACGTTCTCATTTTTTTCAGGGACTACAATGAAGACAGTCCGTGGGGATGAAACCACTGACTCAAAAAGACAGTTTTCCGCGCCCGGTGCTGGCCACAGGGAGAGACTTTTGAAGCTTGTAAAGTACAGCTGGACTCTCTTGCACTACACGTGCCGAGCAACTCCTGAGCATTTGAGACAAAGTATGTGTGCTTTGTTTCATTTTTCAAAAGGTGACAGCAGTTTTCACTCGGGAGGACCCGGTTTTCAGGGCTCTCTCCGAAAAAACATGAACCTCTTTGGATGATAAAAGAAAGCATGAAGACGTGGAGGAAGAACCCAAAATGGCCGCAGAACAATCAAGAGGAGCTCTTTTGAGTTATATAGGCATAGAGTTAAATCTGAAAAGTGTACTCTTACCCTTTGAGCCAAAGATCAGTCATCTCTCCAACTTGTACACTATTCCACCCTTGAGTATTGTGTACTATTTGTTGTATTGTTCTTGTAATGGTATTGAGTGGCATTGACGTCCCAAGTGATTACTTTCTTTAAATGTAGCATTGACAGACACGCGGGGCTGTTCTCATTACGACCATTCCTTTGCAAACTCGACCATGTGCTTATATACTGTAGCACTAATTCTGCACAGTACAGACACCATCATACACTCCTCCAGGCACGCACACTGACATCAGATGACATGAGAAACACACCACATTGAACTGTGTTATGTGTACATTCTGTGAAGATAATTTATAACATTTGCAGCTGAGAAGTTTTACTGTATATACCATAAAGGAAATGTTTACCGTTGGAAACAGGGAGAGCTTTTCCTCTCTCTCCTGGTAGAGTTAGTACTTGTGTGAAAGGGAAAAACGTGTGAAAGCAAGAGAGTGATTGATTGGAAGAGTGATAAGACGAAATGTTTTTTCTGCCAAAAGCAAACACTGAGATGTTGTGTGTTTCCGCAGAGGGGCTGGCCCTCTCTGTCTGCTGGATCTCGCCCCTGTGCTGGTCTAAACTGTCTGACATGAAGAGCTGGTATCAAATCCATATAACCGCAGGAGTCGACCCCTGGGATTCATGGTGCTGTCCTTCGTGTTTTCAAGCTCAATTCAAGAATATTCTCCTTAAAAAAAAAAAAATGTACAGTAATCAGATATTTAGATTTCCAGACTAAATTTCACACTACAGGATGAATTTAAAGTCATTCGTTCATGGCAGACAGGACACGGCGTCAAACCGAGTTGCCAAGCGCATCTTCACCTGACAGGCTGGCTTGATCGACAGAGCACAACGGTGTATGACTACCATTGAAGTCAGTCTTTTTTATCTGAATTCTTGTTACCTAATTTTGTACATGTGTAAGTAAGAGAAGTGTATAATATGTATATGTATATATATACATAGAAGATTATATAAAAGACCTTGTTTGATAAATATGCTAAATGTGAAAATTTCATGTGAAATAAAAAATGATATTTTTGGAAAACCAGAACAGCTTTCTTGTGATTATTACCATATTAGGTCATCTACTCTAATCTTTGTATGGCTGGCATGACTGCACAAATGGTTAATTGTCTGTTTAGATAGTTTTTTTTTAAGGAAATCAACCACTTTAAAGGCACTATGAGGAGTTTTCCACCTTTTTAACCTTTAAATTTCAACAACACCATCAGCAACATAACTACTCATTTCTTTGTTAAGATTTTTAATACCTGAAACTGCTGGAAGTGAATATGTGTCAGACCAGGGGATTAACAGCAGGCTAAAGAAGAAAGCTTTTTTACTTTTTCCCATAGTGATTACTCACAGTGAGTGTAAACAGTAGGAGGCATTTGTTTGCAAAAAGCAACTTTCACAAGTACAGGAGAAGCAACAAGTGGTTTCACACTGTCCACAGGGGGCGCCGAAACTCAAAAGTTCCTAATTGTTCCTGATTGTTCTAAATGAATCATTATGGCACTATGTACTTGCTACAATCAACACAATTTGAATTAGAAAGATTACTCCTAATCACATGAATTTTCAACAGTCATCAGAAAACTTGTCTTTGTTTACTCTTACAAAAATAATCAGGTTACATGTGAACAAATAGAAGAAATAGCACCTGTGATTAGCTTCGATTAGATCAGATGAAATTGGATCACTTAGTCTGATAGTGATCTAATTGTGTCTGGTCACTTTGATAATCTGATGAGTGGTAATTATCTAAATTTAGAGTTCTGATGTGTCAGCACAGGTGGGGGTCAATCAGCATGAGGGTGTAGTCTTTGACACAGAGCAACAGCTTTACCACCGAGCTGTGGACGAGCTCTCTTCACAGGGGTCAGTGTAAGTTTAGAGAGTTCATGATAGTGGTGTGTGATTTTTACATGGGTGTGATAGACGATGACATTTTTAAAGGTTCATTTCACTGAAGTCTTGGCACAGATCGTAACATTAAATGATAGATGTTAAACACTGTCAACATAATCTCACCTGGGTGTCGTATCATGTCAGTGGGTTCCCATTTGAAGTTTGTGGCCTTACTCAGTTATTTTCATGTTTACATCTTGATTATATGTTTTGACCAAAAGTTTTATCAACTTCCCTTTAAAACAATTAAGTTTGCTAGTATCATCTTCAATGAAAGATGGTTTAACCTTTATAGTTATCCCCTCCTATTTCTCGCTATCTCTCAGTAGTGATCAAGTTACACTATAGGAGAAGAAAGCAAAACATGACTCCTTTAAATGAGGTAGAGAAGGTGCTTTTTGACAAAAAAAACACTAAATACTCTTCTGACTAGCCTCTACCTTAAGCTGACTCACCTCCTCTGTCCTCCAACCTCCAGACTTTGCTCATCACCAAGTTGTATGCCAAGCCATTGTTCTCATCTCTCACTCCCCGTCTCTCTCTTCCCAGGGGAGCTTTACGGCCCTGACAGTTAAAACAGCTGTAGCACCAAAAACTGGTGCCACTGCCTGACAGCTCCCCAATGTTTTCAAAGGGATGGCCGTAAATTAAGAATGGCGGACGGGCCCCTTAACCACCCGACCCCTGGAAGAGGCTCCACTGAGTGGAAGCTCGTCATGACGAGACAATTCTTTGTATTTACTGACTCGTTCAGTGCTTCAGGTTGAGTAAACATGAGCACAAAGTGTGAAGATGTAAGTGCTGCAGTAAATGTCATGGGCAGTCAGGAGATAACGTGAACAAACGCGAGGCACAGAAAACAAGAACATCCTGGGAAAAAATGTTTATAGGACTAAAATTTAAAGACTATGCACATTATAAGTTACAGTGAGGGCTAGACGGTTTAAAACATCTTTATATATTTGAGTATGATCAAAAAATACAACTGCTTTATTCCCCACATTGAAAAACTAAGCTTTTGTTTTTAAGTACAAGCTTCTTCCTCAGTTCTCATCAGATTTATGAGGTGCAGCAACTAGTTTAATGGACCTCAGCTCATCAAACCATTGGCCCTAAATTTAGCACCATCTTGTTCCAAGAGGATGTACCCTAATGACTTGGGTAACTCTTGACCTCTCATCTACCACCACCAGGGCTCTTGTACTCAAGTCCAGGACTTCGACTGGAGTCAAATCCTGATTTTCAGAACTTGTAACTTGCACTTTGACTCGAGAACTAGCCACGTTTATATGGGCAAAATTTCTTGATCCGATTAAACATTTGAGGGATCAGATAATCTGAATTCACTGTTGATATGGGTGCAAAATCATATAATCCGATTATGATGTGCAAGTTTTATTCAGATTAGAAGCATTTGGACACGCGCAGAGTTGTCTGATTGCACTAAAACAACCACCGTAGAAAAGTTGTATTTATTCCTGTGTTGTCAACAAACCAACAAACGCAGTAGTGGCTCACTCCATCGAACTCAGGAGTTTTCCCCCTGTTAAATGTTGTCACTAGATGGCGCCCTTGTTCACTTATTTTACTGTTCTGTCAAAAGTTGCACTGTGCGTGCGGATGTGACATCATTACGCTGTACGTACGCCTTCTTATGCTCTCGGAACAGCAGACTCGGCACCCACTGTTGTGTTTTATGAGTGTTAATAATGAAACCTCTTGTACTGACCTCAACAACCAAGGGCTAAAGAGTGGAGACCGAGTCAGGTAAGAGAGTCACGATCGGAATAAGTGCTTACATGGACATGTTTCGACATAACGATCGGCATAAACCATCCCTCTTGATTGTAATACAATTTCTTTCCGATTGAGCCTATTTGGATCGGAATTTTCCGATCGACATGGTTACATTGCGCTTTTTTATTCTAATCGGGCATGTATTCCGATTTATTGTGCCCATGTAAACACAGCTAGTGAAAAATAAGCTTTTATTTTGAAGTATAAGCTACTTCCTCAGCTCTCAGATTTATGACGTGCAGCAACTGGCGTAAATGACCTCAGCTATGAACTCACAATATTGGCATTGGCTTATTCTAAGCAGGATCTCAGTATTTAAAGCTCCATGAGGAGTTTTTGTTCACAATTCTTTCTCCTTGTGTTAAATGAATTGGCTCTAAATTTAGCACCTTCTTGTGCCCTCATGACTTGGGTAACTCTTGACCTCTCATCTAACACCACCACCACTCTTGTACTCAAGTCCAGGACTCAGACTGGAGTCGAATCCTGATTTTCAGAACTTGTAACCTGCACTTAGACTTGAGCACTGACTGCACTGGAACACAGAAAATGGAGAGGAGGACTTAGACTTATTTATCAGTAAAATATTGCATCATATTTTAATTTCCTTTTTTTATGCTGTATCGTTTTGCATCAGTTTTAACCAGGATATGGTTTGACTTTAAAATTTTCTGTGAATGCAAGCAAAAGGACAACATCTGGGACAAGTGTTTTGTGAATGTTAAATTAGCATTTTTGTAGTGTCGTCTGGCTAAATTCTGACTATAACAAATTGCGTATGATCCCAGTGTATAAAACTGAACTTGAGGGAAGTCTTCCAGAAAAGTTTCAAGTTACTTTTGAAAAGAAGCAGTTCATTAAAATCAAACAGATTGAAGAATGAGACTTTAGAAACTTAAGATACTTCTGAGAGAAAGCTTAAAAAACAAGCAAGGGTCCATGAGGAAAATACTGTTTATTCAACTTAGCAAATGCATGTAAGCGCCCATGGTTTGCACATAGCTGTAACTTCAGTTCTTGCACCTTGTGTAGATTATGCCTATTATAGATTTAGTTATAGCCCCCCTGGAGAAAACCTCACCAGATGATAAAACCATTACCCTATACATCCAAAAGACCCTGTTTTATAATGTGAATAACTGAGTGAAACAGAGCTCCATTTAATACAAGGCAACACTACTGATGCCCTCTGACAGATAAATAACTGTGGACATCACCTCATATTTCATCAAGTGCAATCAGCTGTTCATTTTTAATTGGTGCAATACTAAAACTATTAATCAAGATGGTGATTATGGTAATAATTCCTGCTTATTGACATTTTTTATCATTATTACTGTTAGACTGTTAGCATCATTGTCAGCGTTTAGGCAGATAAAGCTCCACAAGGATGCAGGCAACGATGTAGATCCTTAATATCTTCCTGTTTTGAAAAAGAAAAAAAAATGGCAGTGGATTTGTTCATTCATCTGTTCCCAGTGTGCATTTCATTTAAAGCTTGCAGGATGCCTTTGGACGCATCAAGAAAAACTCACATTTGAATGCAGGTTCGACACGGCCAGCTGGTCCATCTCTGAGTCAGGCCTCACTATCAGCAGGACACATGATGGCCAGTCCCTGTCTGCCTGCAAGCGTATGTTACTCCTCAGAGGAGCCAGGACTATCTAGCTTACTGGGCCTCTGGGAGGTTACCTAATGTTGTTGTAGCTATTTGTAGCATTTATAAGCTTCCGAGCTGAAAGACTATGAGAACTCTGTGTCCTGTTAATATCAAAGCAGCTGTTTATAAGCAGCCAAAGAACAATAGGTTGACCCGCGAGTGACTCTTCAGCTTCATTCACATTAAGTTTCATGCAGTGGTAATGCTCTCTGCCCTTTAATGCGGCTGCATGCTCAGAGCCACTTTACTCCCTCTTTTCTCTAAGTCCTGAGTAAAAGCTTTAGGTAACAGCGGGGTCAGATGGGGTTGATGGGAAGGAAACTCCTTGGTTATACAGAATGAGTTGGAGCCTGAGGGCCGATCAGGGCACATTTTGGTCCCCTGCCATCGCCGACGGGCGGGGTGTGGTCTCCTCTTTTCCCGTCCGTCTCCACTGCCAGGGTCATCCGTCTTGTTCCAGCTCATGCTTTGGTTTCCAGTCCATGTCACTTAGTCACGTTCCTTTTTTTATTTTCATTCTCACTGACACACTTTCTCACTCTGCCCTCTAAAACCTTTCCCTCTCTTTGAGCCCACCTCCTGTTGTGATTCATCCTGGTGTCACCCTCTCATCCTGTCATTACTCTGGCTCACTCTGTTTAGTATCTGGATCAAATGTATTAAATCTCCGTCTCCTTCAGTTCTGCGCCTCCTTTGCCAACTCCATCTCTCACTCTTTGTCCGTCTCTGGATGGTTTTGAGGTTTTGCTGTGAAATGTGTGGGTGGGGGAAAAAGACTTTTCTGTGCAGCGAAATGATAACCTTTCATTTTTCAGTCTTCCTCTCCAGCCTGACGAGATGGATTCGCTCCCGGCAGTGTCACTGAATGTCTCTAGAAATGTTTTTTTAGTGTCTCAAGGTCTCAGTGGGGCCACGCTGCGGGCAGAACCCCATGTCCCACCCCTCTCACTATCTCTATCCCCACTGCAGTTTCATCCTGTTATTGTGCTACTTTACCCAATTTAGTTGCCCCCTCCTTATCCTGCCACTTTGGAGCAGAGGGTGAAGAACAAAGAGTGCAGGACTGTCATTTTCTCAGCCTCCCTTCTGGTGAAAATGCTCCACTATCAAAGAAAAACAGAGCAATTATAAAAAGCTGGTGCACTGGTTTCACATCAAAAAATGGGAAAATAAGAAAAAAATGACCAAAAATTGAAGCAGAACATGTTTCATGACGGGGAGACTTCAGCAGACACAAAAACAAGTGCAAAATTTACTGTTTTACGATGGAACAACAGACATATAATTTAAAAATGCAGCTTAAAAGGATAAAAACTGAATCTTATTAATGATTTTGCATTATTTCAGGTCATTTTCAGGTGGACTTTAAGCCCAAAGTGACTAGGGTGTGTCAAATCTGATACCCGCAACCCATGGCTCAGTGGCCTGGAAAAAGAAACTAAAGGTTGCCTATTTGCTCAGACTGTGCTCAGACTAATAGTAGGGGATACAGGATTACTATGCAGCTTTATGACGGTTTTTGCTCAGTGCTTCAACTTTATCAAGTGCATCCTCCCTTTTCAGCGCTGCCACACACGTAGAAAATTAGCAGTGATGCTTGGAGTCCTAGGGTTTTGCTTTGGAAAAGGACTTTCGGTTTATAAGAGAACAGCATGTTTTTCTACATCTGTCTGTGCATTCGCTTACAATTCTGTAAATATTAAAAATCTTGAGGTCTCGTCTGGGAGAGGATTATAAATTGGCTTTGCTTTTAAAGGGATTAAAAGAAAGAGTCTCAAAGATGCTATACAAAATGTATATACCCTCTTTATGATGTTAGGCCCATCCTGGTGTCTACTCGTCTGATAGTCTGCAGAATAAATAAGAGATCGCACAGATGGATGCCTTCAAAGTTGGATTTGGGAAAGAACAGGGACAAAGAAAAGTGATTAACTCGTTCACATGTGGCTACGAGTAAGAACACAACTGCCTACTGAGAAAAGGCTTTGGTGTAATTGCCAAAGTAAGAGAGTTTCTGGTAAATAACAGGTTGCCTTTCATCCAGTCTGCTCTTGCAACAGCTTGCAGACAATCATGGGGAGAGAGAGAAGGTGGGGGGGAGCTCTGCAAGGCGTGATGGGGCAGCAGCCAAACAGTACATCGGGCAGAGTTTGCACACAGAGAAGTGTTGACTCTTTTGCATTTGTTCTAAAGTTATGGGAGCTTTTGAAACCCCATAATGATGCCTTGAGCCAGGCTATGCTTTGTTTGTGCACAGCAGGGATTCAGCACAGGCAGCCTTTAAAGGCTTACAGGGGAAAATATTACTTGCCAACATCAGATTACTTTAGAACTACATCCTTAGCTTACATTGTCTGATTAGAACAAACCTCTGTGGGCGAACATAGAAAATGCTTTACAGCATATTTCATGTTGATAACTACAAAATGGGACAAAAGAGATTTGTTACTTGCACAGAAGGAGGCATTGAGAAGTTGATAATAAGCCCTTAGGCATGGGAATGTGTCATACATGCACGCATTCATGAACACATACTTTCTGCCTGGTCCTATCTGAGGTCCTGACCCACAAACACACACACATTTGTAGACAGCAAAAAAATGAAGAAAATACTCAGATTTAATGAAGTCTCAGTCATAGCCACAGGGCACATTTCTGAAATCGGATAATGGAATGTACAGTTCTTCACAGATTAGATCTAGTCCATTTATTCTGACAAGCTCTGATCTCCAGACACTCTTGACACAGTAGTCCACACTATGTCCCTTTACTTTGAGTTGACACGGAGAATTCCCAGCTTAAACAGTTTGATTATTCCAGTGTTAACTTTGGGTTTTACTTGATGGCATTTCAGTAATGGGAAAAAATAGGTGCTACTTGCAAAAGTACAAACTTTGCAACCACATACAGGATCTGTTATTTTATTAGGTTTCCCTTGTACAAATGAGAGGATCTACCAGCATTTATATACTTCATAGTAAAGGTCTTTCTATGTGGGAATGACAACAACTGATCAGAGTTGAAAACCAAAGTGCTGTTTATGGAAAACCAAGATCAACCCACTGGGCTGTTCATTTCTAATTCCTACAACCTAAATAACCCAATCTGAGGACCAGAATTTAAGAAGATTTCTGCTTCAGGTGTTCAGATCTCATCTAACATATTTTACACACAAGTTTAAGTAACTCAGACATCACAACAGCAGACACTTGGTTGTGATTGAAGAGGTCCATGTTTCCCTTTTCAGTGTCTTAGGGTGTCCACACAGTCTTTTACATCTTCTTCTACATCTTTAAGCCCTTCCGCTTCAAGTCCTCTTTGGCTTCCTTTATCTGTTCCTGCAGCTCTTTGGCGGCCTCGTCACAGTCATTGAAGGTGGCAACCCTGTAACCCACCGTGGCCAGGGAGTAGCAGCCGAATGAAACCAGCAGATACAGCGGCATCGGCCAGGCAACGTCTTTGTAAGTCTGCGGCAGACTCAGGTCCAACAGGTCGAAGGAGACCAAAGCCCAGACTGAGCCCACAAGCGAGACACCGAACAGCCACTCTAGGAGTTTGGTCATGATGAGAACAGAGGAGGAGGAGGAAAAGTCAAGGGAGCAACCGGGAGACCACCTGTGAGGGAAACGATCAGGTAAAGGCGTTTAATCACTTTAGCATTAGCATCCCGGAGTAGCATTATGTTAGCTTACAAGCGAAACAAATGTGTGAAACAAACAACAAATGAGGAAAATGTTAAAGCGTCCATTAATAACACGAGTTTGAGTGAAAACATCTATTCGTTCTTTATCGTTTCTTTTAAAAAGTCAGTTTCAGCAGAAATAAACCGGCGTGTTTACCTCCTGTGTAACGCCACCTCAGCTCAGCGCAGATGGATGACGTATCATCGCGACGCCTTATGGGAAATGTAGTTGGTGTACTTCTACAAGCTTTGTTGCTGTTTTACTGGATTCTTGGTTTATTCTATTGCTTCTTTTACTGTCACTCTATTTCTTCTTTCTTTCTTTTAACTTTTTATTGAAGCATTTCATCAATTTTGCACCACAATTCACATTCACACACCCTCACAAACGTTGCAAAAACAGGAACAAGAACAAAACAAACAAGACAGGAATACGCACAACAAACCTACATCAACACTAAATGAATACATACCTTAAACCAACAAATATTAAAGCAAACAATTGCCACCATCCCCCAAAAAGTAAAATTAATTAATTAATTAGTTAGTTTGAAAAAAAAAAGGTTTTTTCGTTTTAAAGCAAAAAGAAAATATTAATGGAAAATTTTATTTTGAAATAATGATCAGCGTTTGAGTTTACACTGTTTTTATGTTTAAATAATAATTTAATAGAATATTATTGACATATTAATGTGAAATAATTAAGTGAAAAATGTTCCATTTTATCTAACTTTTACTGAAGATATATCGTTTCTGTATTGTGTTCTTTATTAGTTTTGTTTTTGCTTGTTTGATTGATTTCATACTTCATATTTAATAGGTAAAAATGCATTCAAATGTTGAGTTAAAAGAAAACAAATGTCTCATATCTCAGTTATGTACAAGCAGTTGTAGCTCAGATACAGTTGTACCATATGCGCATGCATATAATTATGACTGCTTATGTATAAACCGTACAGATATGAACACACTTGTCGAAATGGCTTTATCCAAGTGTTTATATGAATGTTAATGTGTACACAGAAGCACATACCATAATTTAATTTGTGTTTTTATTTTTCTTCATGTCATTAACACACCATGTGGAGTGTCAGACAGCTGGCAAATTAATCTGTATATTTCCTCAGGTCTGTAATTCCTCTTAGTAAATCTCAATGCTGTCACTCTTTATTTTCATTGAAACACTGCCCTAGTCCGCTTCTGATATATTATCAACAGCAGAACCCTGTCAGCTCCAAGAGAGAAAACAATTTGTTTCAGTGAGTCTTTAATGAGGCCCCCAGTCAGGCTTTTAGTACACATTAGACCTCTAACTGTTTCTCTGTGTCATCCTCTTAATTTAGAAAAGCCATTTTGAAGAGTAGATAACCATTAGCAAGAGCTGAAAGCTATCCATAAACACTAATGTTGCTCCGAAGTGAAGAATTCAACAACAATTTCATTAGGGGGTGCCTGGAGCTCACTGGTGTTTGATCTCAGTGTGTCTTTAGGTGCTGAGGGGAGCGTCTGTTCATTCTTGGCGCTGAACTGTCCAGGTGCAGGGGGCACAGGCGTCTCCAGGGTGAAATCAGGAGGGGTGGGAGATATAAACATCATTCACTTTGCTGGGGCGAGGGACACACCAAAGAGCCACCAAGAAATAAACATCATTCTCTAGGGGAAAATGGAGGGTTATTCTTAGGACACTGGTGTTTATGTTTGTCTTCACCAGTGTTAATAGTGTTAGTGAGGATACGAGCGTGCAGGGTACAGCCTGTTTCTTCTGTTTATGGAGAATGTTTTATCCGAGGCTGAAAGAAAGTGAAAGTCTGTGTCTGTGTTTTTCTCCTTGCATGGCTGTGAGGCTTTGTGAAACAGCAGGTAAATGCAATGGCCTTTATGTCTGCCTAAATTTATTGCTGATTGGATTTTCCCGACAAGGAGCTGCTCCTAATGATTACTTTCATTATTGCTTAATGTCTCATCAATGTTTTATAAAGCTTTTAATAATTGAATCGGTAGAACCTGGGAAGTAAATGAAAACGTCTACAGCCTTCTTTTCTTCCACTGAAATCATGCCTGAAGTTATTTCATGTATTTAGATAAAAATGAGAGCAGAAGTACAGAAGACAACATTCCTAGCAGTCTAAAGGCCTTGCCCCACCCTCCAAAAAACTGTAGTGTAAACATATGCAGTAAAATCATCTACCTGCTTGTATTTGTATTCATTATTCAGTAGACATAAACTTATTAATTTTCAATGTGTTGCACAATTTGTCTGAACCAAAATACCTTTTAGTTCCTTGTCAAGGACCGATTACACGTATCAAATTGTTTTTTATTAAAAACAATAAATAAGTGCGAATCAGCCAACTCCAGGCAAAGAAATCTACCTTGTTATTGTTGGGAAAGCTGAAAAGTGGTTAAATCAGATGATTACTATCACAGACTGCAGATTAAATCGATTAGTTTGCCAGTTGCGAGCATACACACACAGTTTTGTTGCCACAGGAGGGGGACAATGAGGACAGTGAAGAAGTGAAGAGTGTTGTATGCATGAATACTACACCTCTGAGCATGCATCATTAGCTGATACTCGATCTCTTCTCTCGTGTGTTGGGGGCTTGAACTGTAGGTGGTTAAACCTCACAGTCAGCTGCTGGCTAGCTGTGGTTGTGTGTTGCTGATAGCTTCACGTTTGCTTACTCCTTAAGGATTTGGGTTGTATTAGTTATGGCAGCTGCTACATCCTGAATGTGATTTATCAATTTATAACTGACAGAGTTAATGAAGTTTGAGTTGTACATTTTGGTGGCATAAATTTTGCTTTTATACTTCTGATAAATGAGTCATATTTATCATATAGTCTGGATAATCTGGTTGGGATCGATTTTCTCTTCCATGTATACAGCTCAACCAAACTAAATGTGTTCTGCACATGCTCCAGAGTTTTACACCCTAAGCTGACAGTGTTTTCATTATTCAATGAACATCCTGTTAGCCTCTTGCTAACGCGTTTTGTCAACTGTTACAATGCACTGTATGTCAACCCACTGTTCTTGCCTGGTGCATGTAAACTGGGACAAGAGCAGCAGTCCAGTTACATCACCTGATCGAGCTACGACCGTATGACTTAACTGTGTATGTAAACATACTGAGTGACTGTATTTATCAATTATCAATCCCCTGGTCTCATAATGACCAGATATGTTCTGACTGTGTCTTTGGCCCAGTGCTGGAGTCAGGGATTTCATCCAGATTCTGCTGTCCACGCGCCAATGCACCACTTGGCTGCACCCAGCGGTGTATGATAGGATCAGTTAAAACTTCTGGCTGCTTCACATTGCAGCCACTGCCATCAGTGAGCGGATGTGGTGTGGTTGGCTGAAAGTGACATGTAATATAATGGAGCTTTGAGTTATCAGAAGACAAGAGACAGCACTATATTAACACAGTCCATCTACCATTTACCATGACTGAAAGTTATGCCTCTTTGTGACCTTCTAAAGCAAACAAGACCAATAGCAACATTGCTGGGGGTAGGTTTCAGACCAGATGTCTGACAGCGACCCCTTTTTTCCAATTGCAAATATGCACACAGTGATTGATAATATTAATTGTTAGAAAACCAAACCAAAAGTTCCTTACAGCAGCTTTAAAGATACCATGTTGGAGACTTAAATCCAGTCAATAGCCCTTTATCGGTTTAATTGAGTGAGGTGGGATTACCCGTGACGTGCAGCATCATTACATACATCATAGTGTGTGCTGTCACCCACCAGTACTGCATGGGTATGAGTCTGTGTGACAGTCAGTGGGAACAGTGGAGCTGGCTTTTCTCAGTGTATCACCCTGCCAGCTCCTGTTCCGTTCCAGTACTCAGGAAACCTGCGCTCTAGCCGAGAAGGCCTGGCAGACACAACACAACAGCCTGCGAGCAGGAGGGGCAGTGAAACGAGATGGAGAGAGAGGGAGACATAAAGATAGAGAAAAGAGAGAGAGAGAGAGAAGCGGGGGACATGCAAAGTGAGTTTAAAAGAAGAGAAAAGGATGTAGAGGTGCGGGGTGTGAGAAAAGGGTGAGGCAATGGTTTGTGGATACTTTCAATAAAGAAGCGAAAGAGAAGAGGAGGGGTTCATAGCTGACAGGGCAAAGAGGAGAAAGCTGAGAGGGACAAGAAAGGGTGATGGAGAATTTTGACGAAAGAGGAGAGGGGAGCAAGAAAAGAGGAGAGGAAGGAGGGGAGGAGGGCAGCCAACAGGGGGAGAGAGAGAGAGGTTTAGACAGGGGGTGAAATCAGGGGATTTGCAGGTGCAGCCTGAACAACCAATGACCTTAATGGTGCATTAAATCCAGCTGTTGCTTATCCAGACTTTTCTACAATCCCCTAACACCTCAGACTGCGCAGTAGACGGCATGCAGCACCTTGGTTCCCACAACGCCGGGTGAGTCTTGCAGTGTAGGCAGAAGGAATAATAATATAGAAAAAGCATGAACAGACAGAAAGATGGAAAAGGAGATAGTTGATCCCAAAGAGCAGGAATAGGAGTGACTCTGTACAGAGAGCAGAGATAAGGGGCAGAGATACGACAGGAAAAGTGGTAATGGAGAGCTGCGTCGACTCTATCTGCAGCTTTGTCAATATTAACAGAATGAAAGGTCCAGATAAGGATGTGTGCCAGTAAAAGGCTATATAAGGATCAAGATTTGGCAAGATAATGATTGTGTAATATCTCAAGTGTGTTAGGCAAGAGCTGGAGAGCAAACCAGACAGAAGGAGAGAGGAGGGGGGTAGAGAGAGAGAGAGAGCATGTACTGTCAAAAGGCTGTTTAAGATAACAATAGTGCTTGGACTCAAAAACAGGAACTCTCTGTTTCCTGAGCTGGAGACTTTAGATGTGTGTTATGTTGTCATTAGTGTGTGTGTGGATGTGTTTCTGTACAGGAAAGAGTGACTAAAAGACCAAATGTCCAGGTTGTAGAGGTTTCACTGCCGCTGGAAGTGTGGGAAATGATACTTATCTGGAGCAGAGAGAAGTTAACCTGGTAAAAAAAAAACAGCTGAAATCTGTCAAGCTGCAGGATCTGGAAAGACTTCAATTAAGTCGATTGAACTCGGCAGCACAAATACCAGCGCAATCAGAAAACTATGAGGAGTGGTTCGAAAACTGAGGCGAATTCTCCAAACTCCTGAACCCTGTCAGAACCAGTTTGAACGATTCATTGTTGATTGAAAAAGGGCATCAGTTTTGCTACAGCATGGCATATTTTTGACTTAAGAATAATCACTTACAGATTTTATTTGATTGGAGGAAGTCAGGGGAAACAGAGAACCCTGAAGGTCTGATTTAAGTCGGTGACACAAATCTGTGTCAGATAAAGTTTCTCTGGAGATTCTTCGGCTAAAAAAAAGGACAAGAGTTGAATAAAAAAAAAATTATTTGGGGGGCAAAATGGTTGGAAATAGTTACTCATTTGAACCTCCTGCAGAGACAGAGCAACTGGCTGATTAATGGCATATTAAAATATTCGTCATCATATCGGCATTGGCCCTCACAGAGCAGATATCACCATTATCATTTCCAAATGCAAAACCACACTTTTCCATCAACAAAGACGGAATATTATGTCCAAAAAATTAATATATCCTTAATTATTATATCCACACTTAAAGTTATTGTACATATTAATACATAAAAAGTATCTGTTCATGAAAATATCACATCTAAAACAGCCATTAGTTAATGTTTGATATCAACTCTGTGATATTGCTTCTGACAGAATTTGATAATAAGGATCTGTAGCTGTCTTGGCGTCACACCTAGAGTAATCCTCAGGACCAGTCGTGTATTTTTTATATTAAATAATTTATGAATTAATTAAATCATCTTTAAATTAATACTTTTTTTCAAATTCACGTTTTAACTAATAAATAATCAACTGGTAGTTTTAAAAGTTAGAATCCTCAGCAGGACCCAATGAGGGGTCTTCTCTATCCCTGAGGGGTGTTAAGTTTGCATCATAACCTGTTCATTGTATATTTTCTCTTATGCCCAAAAATAAACCAAATATGAACAATATCATTACGTCATCAAAACAGCTGTAAAAACAGCTCTTACAATGATGTTAATTACTAACATGATTAAAAAAACAAGACAGGCTCAAATATTTCAATCCTGGTCCAAGTTAAATAAAAGCTCTAATTGCTGACCACTAAAATAACACACCATTTGGACATTTTTCCAAAGCTGTTGTAAACACTGGCCTGATATAAGCACAATGAGAAGTGTCGATTCTGCATGATTACATTTTCAAATATGTGACTATAGTAGGCCTCTCAGCTGCCGAGATATAATCTTAGACTTCATTTTCTGAAGTCCCAGTCCTTAAGTGCTAAAATGTCAAGTCTAAAACAAGTCTCAAGAGTTGATTCTTTTTTTACTCTCTCCCCTGACAGTCTCAAGTGTTCGACTTTGAGCAGTGGTAGCCCAGCAAAGAGCCCAGTCTCCTGATCTGATCAAGGTTATGTGTCGTCTTGATGAGCGAGACTACTTTGCATTCTACTTGGAGTTTTGCACCTGCAAATTCCTGTTGCACTTGGTTGTATGGAGTATGAACCGCGATCTTTGAGGTAGAGTTTGTGGGTCAACCAAAAGGACTCCTCAGACAGTTCTGCAGATGCCTCAGGGTGGAGAGCCACAGTGATAC